CATCCGTCGTGTAGTTTAGCCCAGTCGCTCATCGCCACCGATCATCTACATATCTAAGTTATATCCGTGGTAATCTAACGAAAAAAGGAAGACATGAATGAAAAAAAAAAAGGGTGGGAGAGAGTAATAAAGAGATATAAAGATTGAGCAAACGTGTGATACTTGATTATAAATACTCCCAACAGATTAATTATGGGATATATATAAAGTTAGTTTTACCAAATAAAAACAAAAAGAATTATAATATTTCTAATCAGTACAACTCATTTACCAATGAAGAAAAAGGTCTTTTGAAAAATAAATATTATACGTGTTAATTTTTGTTCAAGTTTGATGGAAAAATTGGACAACATAATTTTTAATCAAAGAATTGGACAACATAATTTTTATAGACCACATATTTAAGCAGAGAAAAGAATTTTAATAAAAGTGTATATTTTGGAAACAAAATGAATCATTCATATATATATTACAGTCCGTATTAATGAGATTGCTTTTGAATAGTGAAAAAATATAATATTTTTTAACTAACGGTAATTGTAGATTGAAGACAAAATTTTCACTTGATATATATATATGCGGACAATCTTTCCACTTGGAATACGGACGTCCTTCCAGATTTAAAATTTTGAAATTCATTAATTATCTCTACATGTTTATCTCAGCTGAAATTTTGAAATGATTTTGTTAGGATATAACCAGATTAAATGTGAGATTTTTAAATTGGTTTCCACAAATGAGAAGCCAATGGTGTTGTTGACTAGTTTTTTAAAAGTTTCCACAAATGATTTATTGACCTCTCTTTTTCAATATTATATAGATATAGATAATACTCCAATCAAAATTTAGTTTGTTCACATAAATAACGCCACAAAACAGAAAATTTGTGCCACATAAAACTTCTAGACATTTTTCATGCAATATAAGATTATTTGTGTCATATGTGGCAACAAATAGAGTAATGGAATGACCATAGAAAATGTATTAATGATGCACTGAAACTTCCATTTAACTCAAGTCCTAAAAAATTCTAAGAGATTTCCATGGCATGTATTCTCACATTCTTGGCCATCTTACCAAAGAGATCAATTACGCAAAAAGGTTGCTTTTTTAAACGAAATCACAAACTGGGCCGCCCTTGTTTTGTTAAATCTTCCTTCATTAGTGATTTCACGATTTTCTTGGAAATAATGTACCATGATTATTGCTTCGAAGAAATCTCTCAAATTTTGTAAGGGGATAAAACTTGGAAGAAAATCGATTTTATTTATAAAAATATATCATCCAAACATAGTCCAATAAATCAAAGTAAACAATAAAAAAAATAAAAAAAATAGTCCAACATAAAAAAAAAAAAACATTAATAAATACGAGTAATAGAAAATAATTGAATAATAAAAACAAGTAATAAAAACAATAATAGAAGTACTTGCACCCAAAATCACAAAATTAACTAGTAAAATTCTTATCACTCATAGAAAATAATTGAATCTACCAAATATCATCTCCAGCCAAACAACTCATGAGCTAGCTATTATTAATTATAAAATGCTTAAATATATAAATAATTAACAATAGCAATGGCAAAAATGATTTGGTGGTTTGTGGGAAAAAACTTTGCAGAAGCCTCCTTTCTCGCAATTTCCTTTGCACATTCGGTCACACCTTTCATCGTCAATCCCCGGTATACAGCTACCAATGTGATTGTCAAAACAACAAGTCAATGCACCCTCAACACTAACACTATTAATACCTGAAAAAACATTAGAAAATAAATTGAAAAACATGAGGAGGACAATAAACACCGGAAAAAATTTAGGACTAACCATTATATTTTGTAGTTTATGTTTTTAATGTTTATGTGATCTTATATAGCATAATTTTATGTGAATAAATTTGATATTTGATTGATACTATTTCCATGTGTGTTATTCAATATCTATAAGTTTAAATGTTTGATATTTGATTGATACTATTTCCTTATGTTCAACATCTACTTACAATGGCTAGTGCTAATGATTTTAATTAATTTGGTTGACAATATCAATATTGATTCTAATTTTGGTTAATTATAATTATGGTGCTTTACGTTAAAATTGCAGGAAGATTTGGTGTTTTTTCTTTTTCAGGATTTTTTATTTTGAGTATTAATGGGTAAGAAAATCAAAAATAATTCATTTTCCTTCTTTTTCCACTATTTTCCAATATTGGGATGATACATATTCTTTTTGATTTATTTATGATACAATATGTAGCGTTTCATTGTGTACATAGATTTAAACAATAAATTCAAATTTGACGGATGGATATATAATTTTTGAACGAAATTCGTTTGAAGAATAACAAGTTATATAGATATAACCCTAATCAATAAATTTGGGGGATGGATATATAATTTTTCCGGAAAAAGTAAGTTTGTTATTAAACTAAGTCATATAGTAACTGTTGTAGTTTATGTGTCATGATTATTTATTTTTTCACCTTCGATTTTTTAATATAAATAATACTCCAATCAAAATTTTAGATTGTTCAAATATGTAAGGCTACAAATTTTTGGAGCAACTGAGAAAACTGAAGTGTTGAAAAAACTGCTTGAAGACATATTATAAACTTTGAAATATTTCAAAATCTAACCAAAATAAGAACACTCAACAGTGAAGACCAACGTCTTTTGCGTTGAGGCCCTTCTCGCCATAGGTCCATTTTACAAATGATTAACAAATTATTCAAATGCTCATCTGTTGACATGGCCGAGTTGGTCTAAGGCGCCAGATTAAGGTTCTGGTCCGAAAGGGCGTGGGTTCGAATCCCACTGTCAACAGTTTTTAAATACTTTTACTATTCTGTTGTTATTTTTATTTTCCTGCTGTTTAGTTTCTTTAACAAAAAGGTCCCAATTTATAATTCGGGAAAAGGCTACAGTCTCGATGAGAATGATTCCCTCAATTCAATTAAAGTCATAACATCTTTTATTTTTTATATGGACTCATAGATGTAGTCAAACAAAAGTGATCTAACAATTTTTTATTAGAGTTTTGTATAAATGAATAATTCTGTTACGGTTGTAGCATTTTCCTACAATTAGAACTAGGATTGACTTGTTGCCTTATTTTTCTATTAGTTGACCTCGGATGGATGACAATATTAGTTAATATCATACAAAAATAGTTGATTTGACTAGTAATTATCACTCAATAAATTGTTTAGAAAATCAAGCTTTGTAGTGTAATTATAAACAATTATGTTTGTTTATTACAGGATTAGTTTAGATTTGGTCGAAATTGAACCTCTAAATGAGGTTTGACTAATCAAATTCGCTAATTAAATTATTTAGTGACGAGTTTATTTGATTAGTTTTTTGTACCTAGAACGTTAGTTCTGAAAAAGTTCAATATAATAGCATATTTTAAGAAGAGATAATTGGGGAAAAAAAAAAAAACAATAAAGCGTAACAACTATAAATGTCGATATTTACGAAACTCTTATTTCACAAAACTCTAATTGAGTTCGCTAGTCAAGCCAACTAATATAATCTTCTATTACCAATTAGCTGACAACGAATAGCTGAATGTATTAGCGGACTATAATAGCTAATTTGACTAACCGGTTGTATTAGATGTTTGTAAATAATTGTTTGGTAAATAGTGGATTGTATAGCATTTTTGAAAACAAATTATGCTAACTTGTTATTCTATGAATCATCTTTTCTCAAAAAGCTCCTATAATGAGTGTTTTCAGAATTAGTGGTTTGTGCTAACAAAGAAAAAGCTAATCAAATAAGATTTTTTTATCAAACAACTTAATTAGCGAATTTGATAGATCAAATCTCTAAATGAAGTTCAATCCATTAATTTCAATCCATTAACATTTAAACACGGTCATGGCACCAAAATTAATGGAACCTGTAATCGACATGACGTTGTTTTACGTTTTATAATTATATATTTATATTATTTTTTTCTACTTTTTCTTTTCCTTTTCCTTTTTCTTCCTCTATGTAGATAACCAATTTTTTATTTTATTTTTAAATAATTAAAACTCTTTATTGATACACCCTTTTTTCATATATAAATAATAAAATAACTAAACATATTTCCCAATACTATATAAAAATTAATGCATGATCCTAATTATGTCATAAAATAAATAACATTATAACAATGATTTATTAATTTAAATAGGCTTATTAATCAAATTTTAAAATTTAAAAATACTAGTTCCATATAAATTTAAAAGTTTGTGCTAAAAATAATATACATTATGTCCTTGCCACGACAAATTTGTAACCAACTTATTTTATTAATATCAGTCCATATGAAAACTCTTACTCTTACATGACTACATACATGAATTTGCAACAATAAATTTCATTTCAAATTCTTTTATCAATAGATAAAGAAATTTCACCAAAAATTTATTGCAATAATATTTAATCCTATCTTATGTGCATGCAAATTCTTTGAAGTCTCTAGAACAAAACAAATCAAAATGATATCAATAACCATTATCCAAACTCATGAGATTGGCAAAATATCATTACTTGAATGGTAAAAAGCCCTTATTTAAATCTGAGCTTGACATTATACCATTGCTGTAGGCTGATCAATGTTAAGATACAAAGATTCTCAGTTGCAGCACAGCAGATAAAAATTACAACAAGAACTAGTTTTTTTTTTATATATATATATATATATGAAAATGGATAGCCCTTAAAAGCTTTCCCGTTGCAACTTCCACTAAATCTCCTTGGCCGATCTCAGGCAAAGAAAATATAGTGGAAGCTGCAAAAGGAAGCTTGGGCTATCCAAGTTACAGACATTT